CAGTCTGTAGACCTCCCAGGTATCTCACAAGTGGGAAATATGAGGTCTGTGCTCACCTGTCTTCTCTACTACATTCCACAAAATATGAGCTCACCCTCCACAGCTGTGAAGAGCTTTTGAAGTTCTCTTCATGTATCCTGCTATGCTATTAAATCGTTTTTCCATGTTATTTTCCTTATATAAACTACGTTATTTGTCCTGTACAACTGCCAAAAACACAAGGAATGCCTTTACCAAATTTCAAAGACTCTTATTTTTATCATACAGAAAATTAGTCAAGTTTTTCTAAAGTCTACAAATCTAAAGCCTGAGGAGGGAATCTGCACCTGCTGCAGTGTCTAACTTCCACAGTAGGCATATTTAATTTAAAGTATCTTTTTATTGTTCAAGTCAGAGTTGTATTTCTCATAAATAATTTCTGAACACTGGTGCCTGATTTGTTTTTGATGATTAAAAAATGCAGGTTATCAAACCCTATGGATAAAATATCCTACAGTAAAAAGAGAAGCAGATGGTAATTTAAGGTGGCATTTTCATAGAAAATATGGGCAATTAGAAGCAAAACATTCCTGATTCATTACTTGATCATCTTGCCAAAGGGCTAAAACATAGAAATACAGATTAGATATGAATTGAGAGGTTTTCAAGACCTGAGTACCAGAGCAGGATTAAATCCCTGAAACACTTTATAAAATTAATCATCTCTAAAAATTGTGTTTGTGTTTTAAATGAAAAGAGGTTTTTTTAACATGTAAACAAAGTGAGAGAGCTGCTTGAGAAATGTTGTTGTACATTCTGTCCATGACTGCAGATCCCATCTCTGAAAACAGGACCTGCCAAATTCCACATTATTTACTAGGTTGCTTGTAACTGAAAGTTTTCCAGAAATGGACATCATGGCAGACAGAAAATAAAACAAGACAAAGAAAATTTTAGAATTTGAATGTATTTTGATTTCCATAAAATTAACTGTGTTCTGCTTAATATCTATATACCTAATGTTCCTTATTTTAAAAATAAAATTACTTTGGTGGGTTAGAATGGTCAGGACAAAGAAAACATTGAATAAATGTTATTTTCCATTTACCAACCTTCCCTAATTCCATTATGGGTACCCTTCTCCCACGGTTAGTCTGATTTTATTATTCAGTTTTTATTATGGTAATCCTCATGATAGCCCTATAAGGTTGATATATTAATCTCTTTCCAGAGGAAAAACTGGGAATATATAGAGGTATATCAGCAAGGAAAATAAAAACTATTTCAAGTGTTGTGGAAAAATATGAAATATATCTCCCAACAGGTTAACTGTATGATATGCCGAGTTCTTGTTCTCTAAAAAATCGAAGAATGAGTCCTAGGAACAATGGAGGCTTAAAGTAGGAAGATATTGATAGGAAAGCTCCAGAGGGGCAGGAGGGGGGTGGTCCCGAGTAGGTAGCCCCAGGTCCCCACCTTACAGAAAAGTTTTATAGGATAAAACCCATGTGGGTGAAACATAGGCCATAGCCATGAATATCCAATAAGATTACAAATATAGCCACTTAGGTAATGGTGGTCCAATTGTGAAGCACGTTACATAATAAGTTTAGGTGGAAAGAACAAGGATTCTCCTAGGAGGAAGCAGGTCCAGAGGTCTCTGTTTACTTTCAGGGTGCTAACTATACTTTACAAAGCCCAGTTCTTTGAAGAAGTATGTGGGTCTGGTCATCCTGTCTCCATCTTCAGGCCTGGTTTTTAGCTGACATGCAGCTGTGGTGTGTTTCACCTTCGTCCTGGCCCTCTTGAGGACTTAACCCTGACTGCCTATACTATTTCTACCAGCTCATCTATAATACAAGTATTTAAAACAGAATTTAATGTCAGGAATTGTTCTCACAGATGATGGAAAAGAAGGAAGAGCTGCAAGCGTTTCTGAAGGAATTCAAAGATTAGCAAAAGGAGGAAACCACTTCTCTTTTCCCCAGACTTTGGGGTCAACCGAAAGGAAATCCAGAACCAAGGCCACCACATGGAAGCTACCTCAGGTGGCCATTCAGAAAAAGCAAAGTACAGACTCCGCTAAAGGCACTGTTGATGTTTGAACAGGGGAACTTCTAGTAAATACACATGCACAAGGCTCAACACCAGAATCTGCATACTTCTAACTTCTTTTGTACAAAATAGATACAACCTTATGTGTGAAAGGGTGTACAAATCACACCAAAAATTTGAGGAATTATAAAAGTAGTGTAGGTTGAAGTGAATTCTTACAGTGCTCTTCAAATAAGAAATCATAAAGTCCTTTTCCCCAAAACTTACTTGTTACAGTTACACTGAGTGATTTCTAAGGCCATCCTAGGGGTTTCAGTAAAAAATGTTTCATTGAATGAAAGGGATCCCAATGGGATTTCTCCACAGTTTTAATTATGACATTTGTTGACCCTATAGATTTGCTATGCATTTTTATTTCTAAACAGAACACCAGAAGAGTAGCAGAAGCATAGAGTAGTAATAGTTTGGATAGATATTTGCTTCTTTTAAGCTTATTTCTATGGTGAATTAAACTTTTGAAGAAATATAGATGAAGTGGAAGTATTTGAAATAATGGATAGTAGGACTGAATTTTTGAAAAGTGGTTCATACCCACTTCATTTCATAAGCCATATTCCTGGTATAATATGTAAAGGGATTTGCAATGAAAGATAGTAGATCCAGTCTGTATCAATTATTCATGCATTTCAATTGGCAGTGAAACTAGCAAATGTATTCAATGAGTGGTCTTTATTTCCACAAATGTAGATATGCATAATGGATGGAAAAATAAAGTTACTTTTCAATACAACAGCTAAGTACAAGAATGTTTATATATATAAAGTTTTCAAAATATCTGTTGAAAGTGCCGACCAAACCACCCAAAATTACAGTTGTACATCTGCCAGCTATGAAGGGTTGTGCTTGAACTTATTTCACAGTTTCTGGTTTTCACAACCTTTGGGCCAGCACAATTCATACTTGATACTATGCTTCAAAATATCTGTTTCAGGAATTGTTACAAAAACAGAAGCTAGAACACATTATCCTAAAATGCTACTACCATGCTTAACAGAGGGAAAAAAAATTTATTTCTTAAAGTTGTATGTAAAACAGCACTGATATTTATGTAAGGAAGACTTCAAGACTAGAGAGGCTTTGAACCCATTAAGTGTTAATATTTACAGAGATTGGAAGTTTAACCAATTTCTCTCATTTCTTGAAATAATCTGAATAGTAAGAGGATATTTTAATTAAATACTTTGCAAGTGATGAAAGCAGCTGGATTTTGTAGGTAAGAAGTTGTTTAACTGAATTGTGCAAAATACAGATAAACTAGATAAAGTTTTAGCTTTCTCTTTTTTTACAAGGAAATATGGTAATTTTAATTTTATTCATTCAACACATTCCATGGGTTTGCTCTTTGTTATGCCTCAATCTTCTCTTTTCTGTGTTCTGATGTGAACCTGAATAGTGTGTTATTCTATTTATTTGTATATTTCTCCATTTATAATACAAATTCATTTGTCTTCTAACAAAAACTGCCATAGAGGCTGGGCATGGCGACACACACCTGTAATCCTAGCACTCGGGAGACTGAGGCAGGAGGATCGCTGTGAGTTCGAGACCAGCCTGGGCTACATAGTGAGTTCCAGGTTAGACTCAACTATATAGTGAGACCCTGTCTCAAAAAAAACAAACAAAAAAAAAACAAAAAACAAAAAAACAAAAATGAAACTGCCATAGGAGTGGGCATTCATTGAGTACTATATTTCTCTTTTACTACTAAACACAAGAAATATTAAGTGAAACATTATCTATAATCACGTGCATTATGACAGCAAACTCTTGATGATATAAATTCATTTGATTGGAAATAGGAGTGTCTTAGCCACTTTTGTATTAAAGGAGGAAGGTTGATTTTGGCTGGCAGTTTGTAGACGTTTCAGACCTTAGATGGCTGACTCCCAGGCAGGAAGGCATGGCAGAGGTACGTGGCATGGTGGTCAGAGAGCAGAGAGACTGAAGGGAGGAGGACGACGACAGGGAGATAAGCCCTCCAGGCCATAGAAGGCTCTTCCAATCAGACTACTTCTACTGGCACGTAGCTATAAGCTCCATGATCTAATCACTTTCCAGAAGCCCTACCAATGAGAACATGAGGCTTTGGGGGGATACTTTACATATAACCTATTTCAATGGGTAAAATTTGCTTTACAATAATTTAAGTATTGCTGTTGACATTCAGATATTCTAGATCTAACTATACATGCAGTTCACCTTGAAGTAAACAGTTAAGATCTGATGAATTTACACATTTAATGTAAAATTCTCCAGACTTAGATTAGTACATGGAAAAATATAGGTGATAATATATAGTAAACTCTTAAAAATGTAGCAATAAATAAAATCAGTTCCTATTTTAAAATGACAATATGTAGAGTAAGGGAAACAAAGAATAATAGTTACAACACAAATCAATGAGTATAGTAGCTGTAACAACTGTGCCTAATATTTGTAGGTCAAGGCCAGTATGAGTTTATAAAGTATGGGAAACAGCTATTTTTTCCCAGATTGGGGCTATAAAAGACATTTGGTAGGATGGCTTCATCCAGAGGAAACTATTTCTAGCAGTGCTTATGTGATATTAATGATTATTTTATAATTGGAATCTCCTTCCATTCCTTTCACAAAGCTTACTTGATTTTTATCCAAGAAGACTTAGTTCCCAGGTAAAAAAGTCAAAAACCAAGACCAGAGCAGAACTACTACAAGCCTTTATTGTAGGGACAATCTACTGGTCCGTCTCTGATCAAAGGAGAGAGAGCAATATGGCAGAACAGGGAGCTTCTTTCATAGGCCTGGGGTGGGGTTTATAGGAGATGGGGTGGAGTTAAGTGAAGTAGTATTAAGGGATTGGAGGAGCCTCTGACATCACTCGAAGGGGCTTGTGACATCACTGGGTACTCCGAGGTAGCAAGTATCTACTTTTTGTCAGGAGAAGAGGCATCATGGGAAGAAGGCTATCCTTTGGTAGGTGGGAGAAGCCATCTTTTTAGGTGAGAAGCAGGGAATTATGGGAAGGGGAGTAACAGCCATCTTAAGGAGAGGGAAATCTAACATTAGTCCACTGTAATAGTATTACATGATGTCTCTTGTCCATGTCACTGTTTTCTCTCTAATCATATTGTCTATAGCATGTTACTATCTTATTTAGATGTATCTCTACCTGTACATTCAACTCATGGGCAGTAGAAGCTATGTCAGTAACTGCTTTACCTAACAGAATATGACCCAGGAATGAGGACTGAATAAATATTTGCTAATTAATCACGTGAAAACTCTGTTAGCCAAAGTTGAAATTGGTCAGAAGAGACCTTTCCATTGTAGAGTTCTGGTCTATAACAATCTTACTGAACATTTACAGATCTTAAAACTGGAAAGGCCAAGGGATGAAGGGGGCTGCTCTCAAGTCCACTTTGCACCTTGCATCACGAAGTGACCTGCACGTAGTCACAGAAGTAGGAAAGGGTCAGAATGTTTTCTAACATTATCACGTAAAAATTATGATAGCCTCATCCATTATTTCTTTGATGAAAATGGCTTTTGGTAGTAAGGTGGCCACTGAATAAGCCTGTGGTCTTCCTATCACACCAGCTATTCACTATGAGACTAAGGGAAGCGGACCTATGAGCTGGTAAGCATTAAACTGAGGGGTACAGAAAGATAAAATAGGCAATTTCAGGAAATTTACAGTTACCAAGACTTTCTACATTTTCCCTCCACTTTTTGTTTCCCATTCTTTCAATTTTTAATTACTTCACACATAATTATATACGCATATAATAAATTATAATACATACAGAAAAATGTACAACATATTTAATTAGACAAAATGACAACACTGTTTTCTAGTCAGAAAACTCTGAAATCTTGGTGGCTTACTACAGAGAGATTCTTTCTGTAAAGAAATGTAAAGTCCATTGTCCAGAGGCTCCACTGTAAAAAGTGACTTAGAGATCCAGGGTGGTTTTACTGTGAGATGTTGTCAACACATGGACTCCGAGGTCAGTAAGCAAAGTGAATGAGAGTTGGTAAACTCTGAGCTGTTCTCAAAGGCCTATTCTGCCCACAAAAACTTTGTCAGAGTAATAATAATGATAATAACAATAATAATATAGCTACACCTAATTTTTTGAAGCAACCTCAGAGATCTTCCTGTCCACCAAGGAAGGCAAAAGCGTCAGATATGGCAAGTTCTAGTGAAGCTGCAAACTGCTTAACAGCAAAGTATAAAGGGAATCCCCACATACTAACATTATCAAGAAGGAAAATAGCACAGAGGCCCCTTCCCCAGAAGGAATCTCTGTCCTTCCTAGGAAGGTAACCGCTTTTCTCATGGGTAGTCCATAAATGTCATTGCAGTGCCCAACTTTTCAAGATCATAAGGCAAAGAAAACATGGACAAAAGATAAAAACAAACACACTTTAACAAGTTATTTTTTTGAACTGATAAAAATGTTATGTTTATTATTTTACTTATGGAAAATTTCTCACGAGTGTTAATGTGCTATTATATTGTTACAAATAATCACATTTTAAATGTTTGCTATTTAAAAATGTTAAATATTGTAGATTAAGCATAAAACCTACTGGAGTATATGAAAAATATTTGATACTAACTCAGTTATTTAACTTTTTATTTGGATCATTTAGAAAGGAAATCATGTGCAAAATCTAGGAAGTTGAGTAAAATTACATGAGGAGTAAAGATTATGCATCCTGTTTCGTCTCTTTTTCCTGGTTGTTTAATAAATTGGATTTAGACTTTTTAGTATGTTCAGATGTCCTATAATAGTATCTAAATATGGTATCTGAAAATTAAAAGATAAAGAAGTGTCTACTCTCAGCAAAGCATTGGAAAGGCACCGAGTATTCAGAGTGTTTTACACACATTATAAATATGAGATAAATACGTACACTCAAAACAATAGGGAGACTTTTCAGTTTTTTTAATCAATGCATGTTCACAGTATATTACATTTCTCGTGTGGAGTTGGTACATGTGCATAACACATTTCAATTATTTTTATATTCCCTCTCACTCCCCTTTCTTTCCTCTCCCTCCTCTTGATCTCCCTCCCATTTGAAAAATATCTGCTCCCTACTTCCTGTAGTCTTTTATTTTCCTCTTTATATTCTGGGCTGCTTAAACAAAACCATGTGATATTTAAGCTTGCATTTCTCATTTATTTCACTTAACATTATGATCTCAAGGCGACTCCATTTTCACACAAATGACTCAAGTTTATTCTTAGTGACAGAATGCTACTCCACTGTGTATAAATACTACAGTTTTTTATCCATTCATTGTTAGTGATGAATGAATGGATATGGGCTGCTTCTAAGATTTAGCTAATATGAATTGTGCCATAATAACCACGACTGCCCATGTATCTGTGTAACATGATGACGTTAATTCTTTCAGGGAGATGTCTAGAGGGTGAACATCTTGATCAAATGGAATTTCTAGTTTTACTTTTTGAGGAATCTTCCTACTGATATCAATGGGGATTATACTAGTTTATATTCCCACCAAAAATGCATAAGGGTTATTTTTAACCTGCAGCCTTGCCAGCATGTTACTATTTGATTTCTTGACGATAGCCATTCCTGCTGAAAAGAGTAGAATCTCAGTGTTGTGTAAGTTGCATTTCTGTAATAGTCATAGATGTTGAACATTTTTTTTCATGCACTTAACTGCCATTTGTACTGCTGTGAAGTGTCTATTCATCTCAGTTACCCATTTTTTGATTGGGTGTTTTAATTTTGAGGGGTCTAATTTTTTGCGTTCTTTATATTCTAGTCATTAGTTCCCTGTCTGAGTATTTTTCTACTGCTAGCTGATACCATTCAGCTGTAAGCCCTCACTGGAAATTTCACTTGCCTGAAAAAAATACTGTCTTGCCTGCATTCTTCATAGCACAGCATCATTCAGTTGTCCAAGAGAGTTTAAAGGTCAATATACTTGTTTCTGACCGAAGCCATCCCATCTTCAGTTTTCTTATCAGTTTTCCTAGGACAATTCTGTTTCTTCCCCTTCCTTTCTGCAGGGCACTAATGGGCCTTCTTCATAAGCTCCAGGACACCCAATTTTGTTTCACAGTGGGCTTCTCAGGGGAGACTCAACATGCAATAGCCACCTCAAAGTCAAAAGCATAGACAGACACACATTCATACACACAACTAATTTGTGAATGGAAGCTATTTAGTAACATAAAAGGTTGGTTAGAAAAAAACTTAATACTAACTCTGAAATCATACCTGAGAGTTCTCATGCATGGTTGTACCTGCCCATAATCCCACTACTTTGGATGCTGAGGCAGAAGGATCACAAGTTAGAGGTCAGTTTGGGCAACCTAATTTATGAGACCCTGTCTCAAAATAAAATAAAAAGGGCTGGTGATGTGACTCAGTGGTACAGCATATGCCCAGCATACACTAGAGTACTGGGTTCAATCCCCAGTACAATAAATTTAGTGAAAGTTAATAAAAGGGTGAGTGTACCACAGGCAGGAAGAGAGCAAAGCTACAGCGAAATAATTGAGAATATAAATGGTGAGTATGTTAATATTTTTCCTGTCCCTTTATTTATATTAAAGTGTACTCATTTATAGAATCTGTCAAGATAAAAGGGAAATTAAAGATGCAATTGTTTTAGGGAATAGAATATAAATTCATTAAACAAGACTGTTTTGCCATATTAGATAAATAAGAACCCATTAATTAAATTAATTACTTTTTATTAAGAAATTTAGTTGAGTAATCAGTTTTGCATAATAACAAAATATGTGTTTATTATGTATATCCTTTGTTTATTCCTAAGGTCTCATAAGAAAGTATTGGAGAAGCACAACTAGAAATTTTGTAACACATCATTTAATCCATGTCTCGGTCCAGTATAACTAAATCATCTCAGATTGGGGGGATCTGTAAAGGCCTTCAATGCCAGTGGCCTTCTAATTGTGATATCTAATTCCATGCTCAGTGTCTAAGATACATAATATGTAAATTGATATTAATGGCTTAATTCCTCTTTGTGGAAATATTCCTTCAATATTGAAGGTAAATAATAATAACCTGAAAAGTTTTCTATTTCTGCTTTCACCTGGGTAAGCAGTGGGCACTAGTCTGGCAAGAGACAGGACGTGCATTGGTGAAGGAGGTGGAAGCACTCCATGGAGGTTCTTTAGCCCCTAAAGGTACAGCAGTTCAGAAAGAACACATTCCTGGAGTCATTCTAAATCGAATCCTATTGTACCTCTTTGACTGAGAGAGAAAGGAGGTTGAACCTCTGGGAGACTAACAGCAGATGTATGAGCAGTTCTTGTCTTTGCCAGTTGAAATTAACATGCTTTACCACTGTAGTTTTTATTACAGGTTAACAAACAAACAAACATCATAATCTCTTACTGTTACCAAGTTTATGCCACAGTGGAAAATAGAGAAAGGTGGTCAACAAGACTAAATAAAATGCAGAGAGATGTCCCAGAGGGTGAGTTCCACCAGCCTGCTATAGCAAACTGCCACCAAACTGCAACTACACTGTGCTGGCAACATCTCTCTATTGAACCCCTACCCCACCTACCCCACACCTATGAAGTCAGGCACACCAAGGGGTGCAGAGAAGCCTCAGGCAAAGCGTCACATGCAGTACAAAAGCTTCACTTATAGGTACAGAAGAGGGCATGAGAGCACCCACTAGGAAGGAAAGGAATTAGGACTGTTTTACCAGATAAAAAGAATCACCTTTCATCCCCTCCTAGGCTGACGGGCTTTCCTCCTGTTCCACCATCATTTTCTTTCACATAGTATCTTCGTTGTAGTTATTAGAACCGTAGTAACACTTAAGAGATCTGAAATGCTCTTAAGAAATAAAACATGTCTATCCAACCCAGAACAACTCTATGTTTATTCTCTCACCTCTTCTATTACTGCTTGTATTTTCATTGCACAAGTTATTCCAACCCACAGTGAAGTCTCCGATGGTCAATTTTATATGTAAACTTGTCAGGGCCACAGAACCAAGATGCCTTGTCAAACACTATTCTGGATTTTTCTGTGAGGATGTTTTCTGGATGGACTTTGATTAAAACAGAATGTCCTCCACGATGTGAAAGGGCCACTTCTAATTAGTTGAAAGTTTTAATAAAACAAATCAATTCCTTTTAAGTAGGAAGAAATTCTGCCTATAGACTATATTTGAGATTGAAAAATGACACTCTTTGCTGGATCTCCAGCTACCAGACTACCCTGAAGATTTCAGACTTGCTAAGTCTCTCTTCCACAGCCGAATGAATGAGCCCATACACACACATGCACATGTACACACAAACACAAGCATGCATACACACACACATCACACACAAACACTTTCTATTCAGTCCGCTTCTCTGGAGAAACTTAACTATATGGAATCCAAAGTCACCCTAACTACCTTGAAATAAAATGTTTTCTGTCACCAATATCCTCTACAGCATGCATGTGAAGTATACAACAATGGCTCTGTACAGAAGTCTAGATTCTGTTGACCAGCATTCCTGCAAGACAGTACCAGATAGTGCTGGAAAAGGTATGTCTGTGAAACAATTTCAGTGATTATTTTTGAAAGCTAAAACAGTTTTAAAGGGAGTTAGTAAAAATCTTTCTCCATTAAACTCTAAAACTCTTTTAATTACTATAAACTCTTGATCCTTTCAAGTTTTTTAGTTTGTCTACTTGTATTTATATTGAAACTAATTTTATTAAAATTAATATCTAAAGTGCTCTAAGTCAACATTTCCACTGCGTTTATGCAGTTTCTATTTGTCAGCATGACAAGGTGATCCATTTGAAAATCAGCTAGTTTCTCCATGGTTGTCGTAATGTAATAAAATTAATGTTATACATCATATTTTAAAATAACCTGGCTGATTAATTCAAGGTGATTCCAGGCTCCTAAAATAATTAATCATCATGGGGATTGATGTCCAAGTCCTCCTATATGGTTTGACGTGTATGCCATGAAGAAGGTATAGGAGTAACTATTACTAATAAATTATGGATAAGATAAATATCACAATCTCAAATTTTTCCCATTTTCAACTCTAAAATCCTTTCAGTTATTATATTCAATTGCAGTCAGTTTAAATATAAGCTATAATAATGGAGATCACTGATAATTTTCAAGGGTGTTCTGCTAAAACACATCCCTCTCCCACAACCAAAAAAGGAAGAGTATTTTTCTCAGTCTCGGTCATTATGATGATAGTTTTATGTATCTACTTGCCTAGATCCTAAGCACCCAACTCTCTGATCAAACACTAATGCAGATAGTATGGGGAAGATATTTGCAGATGTAAGTTAACATCTGCAATCAGTTAAAGTAGATCACCCTACCATATGCGTAGGCCTTGTTCAATCAGATGAAAGTCTTAACAACAAAAACTAAAGTTTGTAAAGGAAAAATTTCTGCCTCAACTCAAGACCACAGCTTCATTTCTTACCTGAATTTCCAGCTTTCTGGCCTGCACTGTGAATTTTAGACTTGCCAACTTCCACAACTACATAATAGCATGAACTAATTCCTTAAATAAATCTGTCTCTCCTTCTGTCAATATTGGTTGTTTCTCTGGAAAACCCTAATGTATACATATATAATATAGTGTACATTATAAAATCTAATGAGTAACCTCAGCATCAGCTTTACATTTGAAAAACCAATAAACTCAACGAGGAAAAAAATAGAAAATAAAAAAAAGAAAACCCATGTAAGAATTTAATTTATCCTATTTTGGCCAATAACTCTGGGTTATATAGCCCTTTATTCTTGTAATTGACACAAATTTGAAATGTATTGAATACTACCTTCTATCTAGTCTTTCAGCAATTAATATCCCATTATCCCACCCCAAATTTTTTCATTTCCTTTTTTCCAAAATAATAATGGTTCCAATTTACAGTTAGCAGAGCTAAGATACAAACTCGACAATGTCTAAAGAGAATTTCCTCACAAGTCAACTTAAATGCACTTTTTTTTTGTTACTATTCTATTTTGGTGCTGACTATAGCCTCCAGCCCTACACTTACTTATTTCAATTAACTGCTGGATTAACGACTATCTACATCAGGTCAGACTGCTATAACAAAGTATCATAGACTGGGAGGCTGAGAAACAACAGAAATTATTTCTCACTTTCTTGGAAGCTGGAAGTCCAAGGTGATGGTGTCACTGGAGGCCTTCCTCAGATTGGGTATGACTGGTCTTCAGTGCTCACCTGGTAGGAAGAAGAGAGCTTTTGAGGATCTCTTTCACAAAAGCATGAATCTCTTTCTTGCAGTCACATGCATGACCTAAATTACCTCTCAGAGGCTCCAATTCTTACTATTAACATGTTGGACATTAGCATCTCAACCCATGAATTTTAGGATGATACACATATTCAGTTCACAACATTTATCAAATTTAAATGTTTTACCTGTTCATTGTATACTGTGTTAGACAGGGTGACTCCCTCCCATAAGACTTCCATCTCCCGATACCCAGAACTTCTGAATAGTTACTTTACACAGAAAAATGTTACTTTGCAGATGTGATAAAGAACTGTGAGACGGGGTGAGAAAACAGGATTGCATTCAACTGAGCCAGAATAATACAAAGAGTCCCTAGAAGTGAGAGAGAGAGGCGGCAAAGTTAGAGGAAAATGGTGAGCTGGGAGAATGGGAGCAGAGGTCGGAGGTGTGGCCCCAGTACGAGAACTATGGGAGGACGTGAACACAACTCTGTTCCAGACCCTCCACGCAGAGTCCAGCTCACTAATTCCTTGACCTTAACACAGACAGATACAAGTTGGATTTCTGATCTTGAATTCTAAGATAATACACAGAGGTCTTTAATAAGCAATAGGAAACTGATATACCTTCTCTTCCTGAATATGCCAGTTTCTGTATCTGTCTTAAATTTTTTTCTCAAATGGTGTCAATGAATCCAAACGTCTATAGTTACTCACTTACCTCAAGGTTATTTTACAAAACATAACTACACACTCGCGTTTTGTTGTCAGTTCCCCCAGCAGTAATTCATTAGCAGAACAGGTGCCCAACGTGTTTATCACCTGCTTTCTTATCTTTTCACAGTACTGCCTGTGAGCAGAGAACTAGGTTTGTCTTGTTCAGAGCTGCCACAGCACAAATTCAATGCCTGGCATAGAATAGTGAGCTCTGAAAAACTGTTTCAAGTGTGATGACCGCTTGCTTCCTCCTTAAAGTACATGAAGAAAGAGGCCAGAACATAGATTAAATCCTATGTTATTCCAAGAGCCTTGTCTTATGTTATTTTTGCTACCCTAACTCAGTAGTTACTAGTTCATTATACTGACTGTAATTAAACCAGTGGCAGGTAACCTAACTTTTGAAACTGTAAAATGAGGATGAATAAGACGAATGTATGACTGTAGACTTCCTGCAATGGGGGTTATGGAGTTAGGAAGAGAGTTTTTGAAAGTTTTAATTTGGGGAAGCAAAAGCAATGACAATAATTGTAAAATAAATCAGTGTAGCTTCTGGAAAACTGCATATATATTTTTTTTCAATAAGAATATACGTATTCAAGAACACACACACACACATATATAATTTCATTATTACTATTATTATTGTCGTTTTCTTAAGACCCTTAATTTCAATAGCTCAATTTTATTTAAATATGGTTTGCCCCCTCTAAAACCCTTTGTGAAACCTGGTTGCCATCACGGTACTGTGAGGTGGAAACTTCCAGAGGTGTTCATTAATTATTAGATCATGAAGAGGACTTACTGCCATTTCACAGGAGCAGATCTATCTCCAGAACACAGGTTGTCATAAAGAAACTCACCCCTCCCGCTTTGCCTCTTACACGTGCCTTCTTGCCCTTTCGTTTTTCCTTCGTGATATTACACAGCATAACATCCTCACTGGAGGTGGCTATGTAATGGTAAATTTCCAGCTTTCAGAACCATAGGTTAAAAACAAAACTCCATTATTTATAAATAATTTAGTCTCAGGTATTTTGTTATAGCAACACCAAAGTGGACTAAGACAATACTCGTGACAATAAGAATTCTAGACACATTTTGGATATTTCGGCATACTCCTCTGGAGTTATCTTAAAAATCACAATTTGTCACTGACATGATACATCCATATTCCATTGACACTCTGATCACTATCTTCTGCAGTAGCTTGCAAAGAAGATAGAACGTGTTGCTGTGCGTCTATAAGTTTCTTAATTCCATTACTAAATAAACATATAATAGCTACAAATTTATTTTATATAAGTTTATCCAGCTCTCAATGGTCACAAAGAAGACAGCAAAATTAGGGACTATGTTTCAGGAATAACTAAATCCATGTAGGTTAGGTTCAAATGGGCTTGGAACACCAAGCGCAGGAGACCGCAATACTGATTATGCCCAAAGTAGTGCAGGCTATGAAGAGTTAATCCACAAATGGTTTGTTTTGAGAAGCAAGTCCAGCTGAGCCTACATGCCAAGGTCAGAGTAACGCACACCCAAATTCCATTCCCACAATTAAAGCCTTTTTTACTAGAAGGACAGTGTTCTAACTACAACTATATATTTTGCCCGTTCTGTTCCTAATTTGAGAATATTTTGTCGTCTCTTATGAGCCTTACTTTAATTTCCACAGAAACTATACAACTGCACATCCTTGCACATAGTCCTGCCCTTACATATAGCTAGCCTTTATCCCAATGGATTACCAATAAATATCAGTGGCTTGGACTGGACAGTGCCGTTGTTAGTTGTACCTGTATTGGTAGTCCTGGCACTCTGCTTTCTGTTTCTCTTAGCTCTGTCTTTCAGTCTCCACGACTCTGGCCTGAGTTGTACACTGGACAAGAGACTGGAGCCTGCTGCAGAGGTTTCCAGTGACGTTTCAGGGGTCCCTGGGAACCAAGTATTGCAAATATGCAACTCTGGATCACAACCTTTCTATAGTGAGATGTTCTCAAATTAAATGTGGCATCAATGATGTAACTTGCTTATTCATATAAATTATATACAGTTCTCCTATTTAACTCAATTTTATACACACACACACACACACACACACACACACAGATACATATAGATGACTTCTAGGGAAATGACATTTCAGAGCTTCTACTTTCTGGAAATAAGTTTCCATATTCTCCTTCTGTCTGTTTACTTAATGCAGAAAAAAGTTTATTTCTCCTGCTCCACTCAGTTATTACTATGAAGAACATTGAAAAACAAACTGTTTTGTTAACATAAAATAAAATTTTAGCTTTAAAAAAAAAAACACTGGGCCTTATGGGATCCTCGGCTTTTATTATAGGATTCACTTTTGCCAAGATCTTACTCAACAATCTTAACAAAATTACCTGAGCTGATGAAAAACAATTCTTCTGGCAACGTTTTTAATCTTCCAAACCATGAGCACATAACCAGAACAATCATAAGCAGATTTTATCATATCCAGCAAAATGTTTACCCTCAAATTGCTTCCTTTATAGTCTGAATTCATTAACAGACTATCAGGCCAAATTTTACTTTGCTTCCTTTTAAAAATGTTTTTCTCACACTTGCAAAGTATTTTTAATTAATATCAGAATGAATTATATACCTAATATATAGAATACTCACTAAAGGAAGCCACACTGCTTTTCCAGGACTTTTTTAAATTTTATTATCTTTCTTTTCTCTGTTTATGGTTGTAATAAATGAAACATTCAATATGTGAAATTTTCACCTTCCTCCATCTTTGAAATAATCAGAAATATTTTATTCTTTCCCTAGAGCTATGGTTTCTTCAAAAAAAAAATAAAAAGAGAAAAAAAACATTATCTATTTTCATATTTCCCATGCACCTAGAGCCTTCTGCAATAGTCCCTTATTTAATGTTTGTGACAAGCCTTTCAAGAGGAGCAACTAGGAAATAAAGTAACTGCATAATAAACTGCTAGGCCAAGTTTTTATCCACCATAATATACAGTCCCCAGGATTTCATAGCAAAGACTAAATCAAGATAAAAATGGAGAAAGTATACTGTAGTGAAGTCAGACTTGTGTAGTCAGTTCTGGAGGCACTCTGAGAAGAAGTGGTCTCACCAGAACTACACCTTCTGGGAAAGCAACTGGCCATTCTGAGCCAGGACCACACTGCCAGGTGGGACCTTTGAGGAGCAACTACTGAACAGCGACAGTGCACAAACAGAATCTGGGACAGCCCAAGCTACTGTGTCTGTGCCCTGGGTTAGAGCCAGGTGGAAGACTGCCAAAGTTTCTTAGACAGTTTCGTATTAGGAGAAGGAGCCTCCATCTCCATTCGGGAGGAGGAATATGAACTCAGATGCAGATCGTAATTTTTCCAAGATTTGAGTCTGGGGAACCACTTTGACCCATTTTTTTCCTCATATTTACTGTGCAGAACAGGTTGGCTCTCTTTTGTTCTTTGATTTCTTTCCCTATTTGACAATTCCCTTTCCTCCTGACTCAAATGTGCTTCCTTCCTTTTGGAAGTCAGAGGATGCCGCTAAGTTAATGCCAGCGGAATGTGTGCTTTGGGTTGCTTTGCCAGCTGTAGCTTGGGCTGAGTGAAGGAAGATAGTAGAGGAAGAGGTGGCGCACCCACTGCTGGCTCAGCTCCCTTCTGCTAGCCACAGATCTTAGGGCAGACCAGGATAATGTCTTACACTCTACTTTTGCAGAAAATAAGAGGAAAGGAGGCAATGATGTCTTACTTATAAAGCAGCAGAGGCTAATAAAATGGGCTTCCTTTTTAAAAGTTTCTTCTGATGTTTGAATTCTGAAATGGAATCCTAAAAGGCCTCTCAATGTTAAACTTCAAAGTTAGGAAAACAATAATAGCTAACACATTTGGCTACTGTATCATAAAATCCTTGCTGGTCATCTTTTATGTAGCATTTCTATTCCCTGCAAAACCCCACGACAGCATCAGTTCTTAGGTTTCATGGAGAAAACTTTTAGTGAAAGGTTGAATAAATTGTAGTGATGGAGATAAAGTTTTCAGACCTTAGTCTATATGACTCCCAATCTTGTGTTCTGTCCTCTACACCCTGCTGCTCTGAGGTCTATGATTTATACTTTGTGAGACTGTAGTTCCCTGTAGTTCTTTCCGGTTGAAAGCAGCCAACCATGTTTCATAAGCAACAGTCTTTGATGGCTGAGTACGTATGAGAGAAATTTCATGTTGCAATTAAAATTATAACAAAGTTAATCAGGCATGTATTTAATGATATGTGTAACAGCTATTGTGCTACACATCATTAAGCATAAATAGCCATCCATATGAATAAAAAAAAATATTTTTACACTGTTGAATCAAGCATGAGTATAATTAGGAATTGACATGGGAAGAAAAACTGTTTAATTTATTAATATATTACTAGTCTCTAAGCACTGTGCTAGATGTTTTATATGTGTTATTTAATACTAACAGCATGATAAAAATATTAATGACCTCTTTTTCACAGATGGACAAATGAGTCTTAAGAAATGTTGTGAAGTTGCCTATCCAGTACTGAGGTGAAATAACAATACAGATAATGTCACTCAACTCCTTCACCTTAAAAACATAAGCCTCTCAGCCACCTACAAATGGAATAACCCATCATTCATTATTCTATCACACTTCACCAGGTTTGCTCTTAATGTGATAGGATTCCTTGCCTTCAAGTAAATTAGTGTTAGAATACCAGTGCGCATTTTGTTTGAATTATTGGGTGCAATATATACGTGTTATGAACAGAATGTTTGTGTCCCTGAAAATTCAGGGAATTTTTGCCTGAACCCAGCATGGGGTGGCAATGGGAGCAGAAGCTCTAGGAAGGTAATTAAATTTAGAGTATGTTGTGAAAATAAGACCCTCCATGATAGGATTAATGCTATTAATGAAGACACAAGATGTAAAATTTCTCTCCCCGTCTCTCTCTCCCTCCACCTCAAAACAGCTGTTTACAAACCAGGAAAAGTGTCCTCACAAGAAATCAAATCAGCTAGTATCTTGTTCTTGGACTTTGCATCTCCACAACTGGGAAAAATTATTTGGTTGTTCAAAACACTCAAACTAAGGTATGTTGTTAGAGCAGCTCAAGCTGACTGAGATATGTTGTTACAGCAGCTCAACAGTGAGTAGCTTTTACACCTGTTTCCAAAGTAGAAGTCCAGTTGCTTTTTTTTTTTAATCAGGAAAGAAAACAGCTAGGTATTTCCTAGTTGGACATTTTCTAGTTGGGATAAACTAACAAATTTTAGTAGCTTAGTGTTGCAAATTACAGTATCTATCAGCTAAGGCTGAGCAGGCTTATCTCTGAATGGTACAGTGCTGGCTACCTCAACAGACAACAGAAGACTACAAAGAAAGAAAAGAAAACAAACTAGTTCTTTCCTTCTTAATGCTACATGCCAGAGAAAATGAAGTTTGGGATCAGAGGCAGGAAGTTTTCTAAGTAATTAAAATGGAGATTCAGAAAGGGAAAGTAAAGCAAAACTTTACTAACCTTGAAACCTGCTCTGACTTTAGAGATCAGTAAGGAGTCATTTGCCTTGCCTCATAGTTTTTCCCCATCCCTACCCTTTCTTTGCCACCACTGCTAGAATCTTGACAGGAGTGTTGAGGTATCTGGGTGAGCTATCTTGAAATATTTGGGGTGGCTTCTTGGATATCATTAGCACTTATTTGCAAAAGAATATTATTTTCTTGGTGTAGAAAATTTATACACATTTGTAGAAACTGTGCTTTACAGTATGTCCAGTCATAATATCTGGCTTAAGTTGAATGTGGTCAGACAGAAAGCTGAGTGGGAACAAATATTGACCTGATTAGCTTGATGCATGCACTGATATGAGTAAGCAGAAAGAGGGTATGGATTTATGTGGCAGTACATTATAGGAGAACTAGAGTACTTATTGATAAGTAGCAGTGATCCCCTTCCTTTCTGAGAATCCATGTACTAAACAAAGCAGGTGGCTCTGAGCCAGGACTCCAAAAATGCAAGGCTTCAACCTCAACCTCAAACTCGGTAGTGTTTCATATCTGGACCTAATTTTAAAAAGTAAATAAATTAGATATACCGGAGGCTTTCAGAAACATAATCTAGCACTATTTCTTCCTCAGGTGTTTCATACATTACCAATGCTTTCCTTAGTTTTGTCAGATGAAATCTTCCAGGAAGAGAATTAGGAAGCAGGGAGAATGTCCATGTTTCCACCCTGATAGAGATGTCAGGTTTGTGTGAGAAAATAATGAATATGTTTTCACTCCACAAGATCCAATTGGCTCAGAATTAGTGCAGTGTAAAGGTAGCACTGCTGAGTTGGCATGTTTTAAATTTCCCAGGAGATTTGGCTCAGACGGATGGTTTTGGTCTCAACTTCTTTTGCTCTTCTTTTTTCTTTCTATTCAGGGAAGATGACTCCAGATTGTAGTTAAGATCACTGCAGAGTCACTGGGAGCTGCTAGAAACAGGCTCTCTGGCATTATTAATGTCACCTTTTCTATCTTTTCGTTGTACCTCTTCCTACAAATCCCCAGTATTTTTACTTAGGTTACACTATGTACATTATGTACTTTATGTCCATTCTGTTCCATTCATTTGCACCACCGTTCTGACCTCGGCAGTGAAATGTGGCCATCCAAACTTCTGGTGGCCAGCTTCATATGTCAATTCTGCTGACCCAGATAAGCCCTTCCATGTCTAGAAGATTTCTGAGTATGATTGGAAGAAAGACTGGTAGAAGTTGGACAAGCTGCTCAGTGACTGATAACGTTTATATGTGCTAGAAAACATGGAGGGGGGAGAGGGAGGGAGAGAGATTTGAGGATGGGAGTCAGGTATCCATTGTTGACAGTGGAATAACTACTCTATCTGAATTTTAATTTTATCAGCAACAAAATGAAGCCTTTAAAAAAACTTGAGTTATCAAAATATTAAGAGACATAGTCAATTTGAAATTATCTATATGTAAATTATTATGGTAATTATTCTTAATATCATATGGACCATGCTGTTAAACACATTAAAATGTTCAAAATAGAACACTTAAGGGGTTGTAGGTCATCTTGAAAGTTGAATTTTGCCAAAGGGGAAAACAGGCAAGGACGTTTTGCAAAGAAAAGTACACGTTATAAAACGTAGCGCATGATTCCAGGGACAACACACGCCCTTTGAAGTCCAGCCGTGGGTTTTCAGGATGCCGTGAAGCAAAGCTCAATTCCCAAAGAAAGTTTGCCTTCATGTAGCAACACTCTGAACTTTTCTTCTTCCTAAGACTTCCCTGTATGATTTGTTTCATATGCTGTCTACTCATCACTCATTTCTAAACAGTGGATTCAGAAATCCCCAGCAAAGTATATAAAAAACAAGTAACTAAGTAAAAGTACATCTGAAGGAGGAAGAGTTGTTTTGATTATTTTATTTCTATGAAATTTGTTTTGAAAATCAGGTTGGCAGAAGCCCACCAGTTTTGCAAATTTTCCCAAGTAAAAATGCATGTGTGTACAGATACCACTGATATTATATATGAAATACACACGATTATATACATATACACATGTGTATATGTATATTATATATACATACATACATGAAATGTGTAAAACCAAAATGAAAGTATTTTACAAAAGACTGAATGTAGAATTCACAAATGAACTTAGAATTTTCATCTCCCTAAGTACCACCCCTTCACCCCAGATACTAAGCAGGCATCAACAGGGCCAATAAGCACTTGATTATTTTTTCATTTTCTAGGGATAACCTATTTGTAAGTTTTCTACTGCGCTATTGTCATTATGATACTGCAAGACATTTAATTCAGTGGGTTTTCTATTTGTTAGGAATAGAGAGCGAGCAGAGTCAAGCATGGGACATAACATCTGCAGTAGTGAACTCTACTGTATGGAACCGGAGGTAGCGAACATGCCTGAGAGGGTTTGAGAGATCTACGCAGAAAGGGACCTGGCACGTAAATATCTTCTCTCCAGGAAGACAGGAAAGTGGAAGAAACATAAGGGTCCCCCACTCAGGGGAAGATTGTGTGTTAGACAACAGTTCGGAATGCACTGAGTAAAGAAGACAAGAAGTACAAAAAAAAAAGGTATACACGTAATGGACTACTACTCAGCCGTAAAGAAAGGTAAATTTGAGTCATTTGTATGAATGACCCATCTTGAGACTATACTGCTACATAAAAGAAACCGGACATAGAAGGTTAAATATTACATGGCTTCTCTTATATGTAATATCCCCCAAATAAATAATTTAAAGAACAATATAAAAGAGAAATGATGAGAAACAGGGAGGTAGACTTTGTGGGAATGACAAGGGCTTCTGGGATGGGGGAGAGAAACAGCGGGCAGAGAGAAATTAAAAGTTATTAAAATGTTGCATGTAATGTGCCAGTTCTTCAAGAACAGTGTTATTATGTATCACAAATCTATACCAAAAATGGATATAAATTTTAAAAAGATACCATCCTCCGTCTGGCATAAGTAGCCACACAAAGAGCAGATACATATTATTTTAGTACCTGATCATGAGTTTAATTCTATTCCAAATAGAATGAGAAACTTTTTCTAATTTATGTGCTTTTGGTTTGTCTGTGTGTATATGACAAGACTGATAGTATGTGTTCAGAAACAATATCCTAATATGTTCACTCATTCAGTATTGAACAACTACAGGGTACTGGTTTCTACTTCTTAAGGTTATCTTTCCACTGACTCTTGTTTGATTTATTTCTTTTTCATTACTAATAATCTTTTTGGGGGGAATTCCCGTTCTTACATATTCTGGGATAAAAATATGTCTCCATTGAGGTCATACTCTTAAGTGAAATAAATAAGTCACACATGTGTAAATACCAAATAGTTTCTCTGGTGTGAAAAACTAAAAGTGTAAACAAGATCCAAATGATATAATGACAATGAGAAATAGGAAGAAAAGGGTTAAAGATGTAGGGGAAGTGTGAAGGGTAGAGCAAAGGAAATAAGGGAAGAGAAAAAACATGAGAAAACAAAATTGGAAACAAAGTTTTTGTAAATAGGGAAGGGAGGAGGGAGTGAAGGGAGGCAGAGGTATGGGGAAAAATGAGAACCAGGACCTGTCATGCAAAGGTACAAGATTCCAATGATGAATGTAACTGCACTGTATACCTAAAAAGTACTGATAAACTCAAGGAGAAAAAAAAATGTCTCCAAACTAATTCCTGTATTCTTCTACTCAATCCATTCTTTCAGCCAAAATTGACTTTTTGTTGCTTTTCCCCACTTCTGTCACTGCTTGTCTAGAATCTCTCTCCACCATCTCATTAACTCGTGCCAAGCTTTGCTTTTAACCGTTCCACTTTCTCTTTTACCAAGTAGATTTTTCCCGATCAATCCAACTGAAATCAAGTTTCCCTTTCAAATGCATCTATTGCTTAAATATGTTCCCCTTATTTTTCCTATTAGATTTTAAGATTTAAGATTATAGTACCATTTTATTATTCATTATAGTAGCCAACTTACATTTCCTACATCATATGTAATAAATGGCTGATTTGAAATTAAGATTGAGGGCCAGGAATTTAGCTCAGTGGTGCCGCCACCTGCCTGTCACGCGCAAGGTCCCAAGTTTGATCCCTGATACCAAAAGACAAAGAAAAAATGAAATGAAGATTGAATCTCCACATTCATAAAACAGATATTTTCATGGCATGAGTTTACCCTTCAAAATAGACTAAAACTATGGAAGATCAAGGATTAGGTTTGGAACTCTTTGACCATTGACCATTCTTATAACCATCTTCTTTTAAATTACAAAAATTTTGAAACTCCCAGTATTTTAGCAAAAAGCCATCTGAACTTTGTTTCTTCTGCCTAATTTTAGCTTTGTCAGAACAATATTTCCAATTTCTAGACTTTAGCACATCATTAATAATGCCAAAGCTGTATCTCCAGAATAGCACTACTCCCCTCTGCCCTTCTTGGCAGTGTTATTTGAGCTATGTGAAAATCAGCAAAGTTCTTACTGTTATTTTTTTTAATCTTCTGTGGGAAGAATTGGCACCTAGGGCTATGTCTACATTATTTATACCACTTTGATAGATTAAATCTTAACTGTACCATGGAGCTCTTAAAGACATGTCTGTAAACGTTTAAGGATTACACAGGTGTTCATCCTGACTGCAAACAAAGACTCCTTTTTGTGGTTAGAAAACAAAATTAAAACATTACAGTAACCTGCAACCCATGATTTTTGCTTAAAATGGATCCTTGACTGGACATGTCAGATCGATTTGTAACTCCTGACACATTTTTGGAGTACAACAAAGTAACCTACATCAATAGAAACCGTTCTCTGATGCTGTATTCTAAAATTAATCTCTTTGATAGTGACCTTTCATAAAGGAGCTGTAATCTTAGTATTCTATCAATGTGACAATATTCTAAAGAAATTTTATCCCTAAAGATCCCATATTCTAAAGTACTCTTAAAGCCATTTCATTTTTTCCACCCTGCTACAAACTCTATGATGCAATTTTGATGAGTTACCAAAAGCAAGAGCTTTATTTTTGGAAGGTATTGTTCCTAGGACTCTTGAGGATTTATTTATTTTTTTAATTGGAGAATCTGATTCTATTCTCTGAAATTCAGAACTTGTTAAATTTCCTTTTCAACAGGTGGCAATTTTTTCATAAGTTTTCAATGGAAATAAGTACAGTTCCCTTTGATTCCATGAAGATAATATATCCTTGGCTGTCTGAGGTATATATCAAAGCACATTATTTACATACTCAACATTATGGGATCTCTGAGATGTCACTGAAAATTTTAGAATAAAGAAATTATGAAGAGAAAGTGTGAGAATTGTAATCATGCCCTTAAAAAGATAACTGAATTCCAATTTTTATGCAGTCCATATGTTAGTTTCTAAGCACAAATAGTTATTTGTTGAATCCAACCTCTCATTCTTCTTTGCCCTTCTTTGGATCCCCCTTCTGTTCTTTTTAAATTTTTAGATATATTTTTACTATTGCCATATAAATATATTTTTACTATTGCCCGGAGCACAGAGAATTAAGGTCCCTATTATATACAGGAAATTTGAAACATAGAAACAAAAGACACCCATAAAGTGAAAGAATGTTTTGAAGTATTCGTCATTGGTTTTTTTAAGGTGATACTGGGCCTACTTCATATTTCTTTATTTAACAAGAGTCACACTTAAGCTTTATAGATCATGCAATAAAAGCTGTCTAAGACAAGCATTATTTCCCTCATATCACTGGCAATCACAAGATCAACCATTCTAATAGTCAAGAGAATAATCAGTTTAACTAGAGATCTCCTAATTCCCACTGTGACTCTAATACTCTTTATGGGATATCGTGCATTTTTTCTCAGATCAAGAGACTTCAAAAACACAGTCTGTTAATTTTTATCTATTATACTTTTTATATATTAGTTTAGAAAGTAAACTGCTGAAAGTTGTAGCTATGTTACCAGAAGCATTTACTAGTAACATGTGGCTGTTTATATTAAAATATTAAGTTTTAGAAGAAAATTAAAAATTTGACTCTGGAGTTGCATTAGCCACATATTAAATGTTTCAGAGGCCACAAATGCCTAACAGCTAACAGGCAGCTCAGACTTAGAAAGTATTTATTACAAAAAATGGAAATTAAAGCTGAAATTTAAACAGTGTACCTCCAAACTTCGGTTTGTCTAAGAATAGATCACATTGGTTGTTAAAACAAATGAAAATTTAGCCTCATGTGTTACATGATGTGCCTGTGGACACAGCTAAATAAGAAAAAATGAAGTCTCAAGTGAAAGTAGCTGAAAGGAATATGAATAGAATCCAGAAAAAGAACAAATTAAATATAGGGAGAAATAAAATTATAAATAAAAAATTAACAGATATAAAATAATTTTACAATATAAAAAAATAACAATTGCTCTGAATATATTAATAAATATTAACAAACTCGAAAAAGTCATAAAGAGGTTATAACAAAAATTAACATTATCTGGTCTGAGAGTGAACTTCAGTAGAGATCCCATAAACAGGTCTAAAATGTTATGATCAAATTTATACAAAAAAAATGAATAATTTCAGCGACTTGTAAAATTTATTTCCTCTGTTTTGTACTGTCTTAGTGAGGACTGAATCCTGGACCTTCACACCAAGCCACCGCCTCAGCCCGTTTTTTTATTCTTTATTACTGCAGATATCTGTACAAATATGATGTTAGAAGACATTAACGTGGGATCAGTAGTGAAAGGATAACCTCAAAAGTTCAAAACACCAGCTTTACAGTAGAGAGTTGTCAAATGAGAGCCACATAAGTGCAATTTGTTAAGGTAAACCCCATAACTTCTGTGGTTTATCACCAAAAACATATGACCTGAACTTATTCATTAGGAAATATCAAATGATTTGTAAGAGAGGTCGGACTGTATTGTAAAAATATCAGCTTCAAAATAAAAATGGGTGATATAACAACAAAATATTAAAAAGATAGTATAGTAAGTTCAATGCATAAAAATGGATTGGACATTTAACTGGGGGGGTGAAAGTGACATTTTCAAGAGAATTTACAATGGAAACATGGATTGCAGATTAGATGATTTATCTTTAATTAGAATATTAGCATTTTCTGATTTTGATAATAATACAATAATAGGAGAGAAAGATACTTTTTCTAAGAAATATACACTGAAACATATAGGAGAAAGAACTATATTTCCAATAAATATTTGCACATGCATACACATGTTCTGTGTGTGTGTGTATATATATATATATATATATAAGGGAGGGAGAGAGAGAGAATGCTAAAAGCAAATGTAGGAAAATATATACAGTTTCTAAGTCTAGATAATGGGTATAACATTATTCTTCTCTCGACTATCCTATAAATTTGAAGTTACATAAAATTCCAAGTTACAAAAGCTAGACTGAAAAGTATAAGATTTTATTAACCATTTACAGATTTCTGTGCCTGAGGGAAGGCTCTCTCAGAGAGGTCTTAAAAGCCTAGAAAATTGATCATTCAGGGCTCCAATTCTGGTCACATGCAAGGAAGTCAACTCATGTTAACAAAACTAAGAAAATGACAGATCAAGTAGAATGCTAGCTTTATTAATTTAACAACAAAAATGATAGTACTAAGTACAATGTAAGAGTTGTGTGCACGTAAATGTTACATTTTTCATCTCAGCAGAAGTCAGTAAATAACCACTTAATTATCTAAGGACT